ATTCCAATTATCTAAATGCAGGTGCAGAGTGACTCAGCTTGTTCCCAATACATATTCATTGGTCTTCCCAGAAGAAGCATACATATGATAATCATTTCCCTGAAGTTGATGCCTCAGAGCTTTTTGGGTTTTTAACTTCTGTAGATTTTAGAAGTAGTTGTGTAGTGAATGTAGATTTTAATGTAGTTGTATAATATGCCACCCGGCCTGGCCGGTAGCCCTGCGCACACCATGCGGGACCCCGCTCGGCTCGGGGGCTGCTGCAGGCGCTGCGCAGGACGCCGCGCCGGCCCGGGGGCTTCGCGCTGGCGGGAAACTTCCGCACCGCGCGCACGGAGCTCCGCGCCTGGCCGGTAGCCCTGCACACGCCATGCGGGACCCCGCTCGGCTCGGGGGCTGCTGCAGGCGCTGCGCAGGACGCCGCGCCGGCCCAGGGGCTTCGCGCTGGCGGGAAACTTCCGCACTGCGCGCACGGAGCTCCGCGCGGTTTTGGACCCCAGGCGAGGCCGCGGCAGGAGAAAGGAGAGAGAGGGGGAGCCTTGCCGGCGAGTACTGCACCCCCGTGGAAGATGAGAGCGCAGCTTCGGAGCACACAGAGGTTTGCCGTTCCAGGTTTGGGGAGGGAGGGAGAGGGGGAGGGGGACGGAGCAGAGGGAAGGGTGTTGAGCTGGTCGTGGGGGTCCTTCGACTGGCGGGTGGGAGAGCAGGGCTGTCCCGTATGAAACATCACATCACATATGAGCAGTGCGCCTGGAATTTGTGGTAACACAGTGGGGGAAGGATAAGGTCTGGGTGGACAGAGGGTTCTTTTAGATTGTTGGGGGTCCCGGCCAGGCTGGGGCCTTGTAAGGTACCCCAGCCTTGGATAGGTACGGGGGCCAGAACGGTTGGTCGGTTTGTTTGTTTGTCTATTTATTTCTTTAGTTTTGGCTCTCCTGCGGCTACTGCCCAGGTTTGGCATGTTCTGGATATATTTGCTTTGCTCTGTTACACCCTGAAAGAGTGGGCAGGACAAAGGGTTGTTACTGGAAATAAAAGACTTGCCCAAATTGTTCTAACAGGAACGTAGTCTATGTACCCCTATGTGGTTGCGAGCTATGCTGGCGAGGGTTCATGCCTTCGGTAGGGTCGCCCATGCCAGACAGGACAAAACCATAGGACCAGATAAACTACATCCTTGGGCAGGATGAGCTCATTAGCCTTCTGGCAGTCATCCTAGGAGAAGGACAACTCTCATCCCAAACCCGGGCAGATGGAGCTCGCTTAGCCCTGTAAGGCCATCCATCTAAGAGAAGGTCACTCTAATCAAACCTACGTCCCGAGGACCTCGCTGCCACCATCCAAGTTTGCTCGGCCCTGGCAGATGAACCTCGGGATTAAAGGGTGGGTTCAGTTCCGCGCATACTGCATCTCACCTAAAAAAAAAATCCATTGCGCAGGCTTGAAGGCTTTACCCACATGCAAAAAGTCCTGTAGCGACGGGCGAGGGTCGAAACGGCAGGTGAAAGATGCACTGGGAGCCGCAGACTCAACCCTGCATTCAGGCGGTTCAGGATACTGGTCATTTGAGACTGACGGAGATGACAGTCTCTTGGGGCAGCACCCTGAACGACCAAGCACCCTTTTCAAGGACAGCACTGCTTGCTCCACTCGGAGAGGGGCCTAGAAAAGGTGGCCTAAACAAAGCTCATCTCCACCTTCACCCGGTTGGTTAACCGCAGACCAACGGGCATCTTCTTCCAATGCGGTCGCACAAAGAGCAAAAGACAAAGGCATGCACCTGCCTCCAAAGGTGTACTCAAATTAACTCTAGCATGCTGGAACATCAGAACCATGCTCGACTCTGCCAATAGCGGACGTCCTGAGCGACGTTCTGCCCTAATTGCCCATGAACTGGCTCGTCTCAACATCAACATTGCTGCTCTCAGTGAAGTTCGCCTTCACGAGGAAGGCAGCCTCAGAGAACATGGTGCCGGTTACACACTCTTTTGGTCAGGTAAGCCCAGAACCGAAAAACATCTCTCAGGTGTCGGCTTCATGATCAAAAACTCCATTGTCCCTAAACTCGAAAATCTGCCGACAGGTCACTCTGACCGCATTATCTCCCTACGCCTTCCACTAAACAACAAGCAACACGTTGTCATCTTCAGTATATATCCCCCAACTCTCCAAGCTGACCCTGCTGAAAAAGAAAAATTTTACACTGACCTGCGCTGCCTTACCCAAAAGGTGCCCGCAGATGATAAGATCATTATCCTTGGTGATTTCAACGCCAGAGTAGGTAAGAATTTTGAAGCCTGGAAAGGAGTATTAGGCAAGCATGGTGTTGGAAACTGCAACGATAATGGTCGACTTCTGCTAGAATTCTGTGCGGAGCAACAGTTTACCATCACCAATACTATCTTTCAGCAGAAAAATAGTCTGAAGACAACCTGGATGCACCCCAGATCAAAGCATTGGCACCTCATTGATTATGTCTTGGTGCGACGGAGAGATGTCTGCGATGTCCTCCATACCCGCGTGATGCCCAGCGCAGAATGTCAAACAGACCATCGGCTTGTGCACTGTAAACTCAACTTTTATCTCAAATTCAAACCCAAGAGGGGCAGTATCCCAAGGAGAAGACTCCAAGTTAACCATCTCCAATCAACCACAGTAAGAGAAAGATTCCAGGCAAACCTTCAAACTAAGCTTGATAACCATTCCACAGATTCTGCAGTTTCCTCTCCTGAAACAATTTGGCAGCATATTAAAAGTAGCATCCTGCAATCCTCTGAAGAATCCTTAGGGTTCTCCCTCAAGAAGAACAAGGACTGGTTTGATGAAAATAATCAAGAAATCCAGGAATTGTTGAGGAAGAAGAGAACCGCCCACCAAGCACACCTTGCACTGCCATCCCGTCACGCAAGAAAAACAGCCTTTCGTCTTGCATGCAGCAAGCTCCAACAGAAACTTCGTGACATCCAGAACAAATGGTGGACCGATCTAGCTGCAAAAACTCAACTATGTGCAGATACAGGGGATCATAAAGGATTCTATGAGGCCCTGAAAACAGCATACGGGCCTACATACCAAGTCCAAAGCCCACTACTCAGTGCAGATGGTCAAACGCTTCTGACAGATCAAACCTCCATTCTGAATCGATGGTCTGAACACTTTCAGACTCTTTTCAGTACCAACCGTGTAGTACAAGACTCAGCAATTCAGTCCATCACACAACAACCGGTGAAATACGAATTGGATACTGCCCCCACTCTAGGAGAAACCCTCAAGGCCATACAGCAGGTGAAAATCAGCAAGGCAGCTGGGGTTGATGGAATCCCACCTGAAGTCTGGAAACATGGGGGCCTTGCACTCCATGCTAAATTTCATGAGCTTGTGGTGCGCTGTTGGGAACTAGGCGAACTACCTTCAGACCTTCGTGATGCAGTCATCATCACCTTGTATAAGAAGAAAGGTACTAAATCAGACTGCTCAAATTACCGTGGTATTACTCTGCTCTCCATTGCTGGCAAAATCTTGGCAAGAATACTCCTGAACAGACTAATACCCCCTATAGCAGAAGAAATTCTACCTGAAAGTCAGTGTGGCTTCAGAGCCAACAGGAGCACCACAGACATGATATTTGTTCTCAGACAACTGCAAGAAAAGTGCAGGGAACAGAACAAAGGTCTCTATGTAACCTTTGTCGACCTCACCAAGGCTTTCGATACTGTGAGCAGAAAAGGTCTGTGGCAGATTTTGGAACGTTTAGGTTGTCCCCCCAAGTTCCTTAAAATGATCATCTCACTTCATGAGGATCAGCAAGGCCAAGTCAGATATGGCAACACACTTTCTGAGCCCTTTCTAATAAAGAATGGTGTGAAACAAGGCTGCGTTCTCGCTCCTACCCTATTCACAGTCTTTTTCAGTATGATGCTCCAAAGGGCCACAGCAGACCTTGATGATCAGGACGGTATCTACATTCGATATCGTACTGATGGAAGCCTATTCAACCTAAGGCGACTGAAGGCCCATACTAAGACCCTAAACCATCTTGTCCGAAAGCTGCTCTATGCTGATGACACTGCCCTTGTTGCCCACACAGAAGCAGCTCTGCAGCGTTTAACATCCTGCTTTGCAGATGCTGCTGAGCTCTTTGGGCTGGAAGTCAGCTTAAAGAAGACAGAAGTTCTCCATCAGCCTGCACCTCAGGAAGTCCCCCATCATCCCCACATCACCATCGGCCAGTCAGAACTCAAATCAGTCCAACAGTTTAATTACCTAGGCAGCCTCATCTCCTCGGATGGTAAGATTGATGGGGAGATAGACAATAGGTTAGCGAAGGCATATAGTGCTTTTGGAACACTCCATAAACGAGTATGGCGTAATAAACACTTGAAGAAAAGCACCAAGATCAGTGTTTATAGAGCCATAGTGCTGTCTACTCTTTTATATGGTTCCGAATCATGGGTCATCTACCGCCACCACCTGCGTCTCCTAGAACGCTTCCATCAATGCTGCCTCCGTACAATCCTTAACATCCACTGATCAGACTATGTGACCAATACATCTGTTCTCGAACAGGCAGCAATTACAAGTATTGAGGCCATGTTACTGAGAACGCAACTGCGATGGGCAGGGCACGTCTCCAGGATGAAGGACCACCGCCTCCCTAAGATCCTGCTCTATGGTGAACTTGCCACTGGCTGCCGCAAGAGAGGAGCTCCAAAGAAAAGATACAAGGACTCCCTGAAGCAACAACTCAGCCTCGGGCATATTGATCACCATAACTGGTCCACTCTGGCCTCTAATCGGGAGGCCTGGAGACACACCATTTATAACGCTGCTGATGCTTTTGAGAAAGCACGCAGGTTCACCCTTGAGGAGAAAAGACAACGCAGAAAGAATCGAGCCTTGCAGAATATACCCTCTAAGGAGTCTTTCTGCTGTGTCTTTTGCAACCGGACTTGCCTTTCTCGTATTGGCCTTGTTAGCCACCAACGCGCTTGCAAGAAAAGTGGGTAGAACCCTTCCCAAATCTTCATTCGCGAAGCCTAACCATGATGATGATGATGATGATGAATATGCCACCCTTTAGCACAGTAGTTTACACATTTACCCAACCCTATTACCCCCTTTCATATCTAACTTTCTAAATTCCTTAGCTTGTTTAGACTTCCCTCAAGGTAGGCCTTCTTTCTGTTTAAGAACATTTTCACGCTGACTTGAACAACAAGATACATCATAGTCAAAGCATCCTTCAAAACCCAGAACTTTGGAGGAGCTCCAAGGACTGGACGTGCTGTGATGAAGAGGAAGATGGGGAAGAGGGGGTCCCAGAGCCCCTAACTCAATTTCATAGCTTCTGCTATGGGTAATTATAGGCATGCTAGGTCGGTAAGATACCTTTATAGGCAACAGCTGGGTAACTGGGGAGGTCGTGCTGGGGGCTTATTTCGCTCCTCCTTCCCCCCCTTTTGGGTTTGTTCATTTTGTTGGCCACCTCTTGGTAACAAATATTGGTTTTTGTTGAGTTTTAAACAGTGTTGTGGTTTCAAGCTTCAGTATGTCTCAAATCCTCCCTACTACAATTAACCCAACAGGTGTGTATACAGTTCTTCATCTGGTAACACTACTAGTCTTTTTTCATATAGAAAACTCTTCTGACACACTGGTTTCTCTCCTTTCTGTTCTGTCAGATCTCCTTTAAGACTTGGACAGATGGAATGAGGTTCCTTATTCCAATTTACTGTCTCCCTTCATCAAACAGATAAATCAAAACATTTGGTCATTTGAAATAGAACAGTGGAACAGAACTGGAAATGGGTTTGCAGTTACATGCGGGAGATTGAAAAGTAAGAAGAGTGGGGCTTGAGGCATGAACATTCATCCCCTTCTTCTACCTCTACTTGAAGATTGTTGATTTATTTCAGAGATGTGAGGTAGATGTCTGTCGAACATTGTCTTGGACTGTCTCAGAAAGATGTGTGAGATGTTGTTTGTTAGAGTGCCACACTGTTGTTTTTTGTTTGTCCTTGAATCCTACTGTAAGCAATCGTATATTCACACAGGCCCTGCCTGTTGAGGAGTACATTCAGTGCAGGTAACTGAGTGTGCAGCTGCAGCGTGAGCTACAGATTGAGCTCTGGGTGGCAAGAGGGCAGGAATGGGCAAATGGGCACCAACCCTTTGCATAACAAAGGGCACAGGGACCTGTGGTGCAACCAGGTGACTGGACACTGAGAGATGCAGTAGGAGCATATGACCTATTGCGCACATTGATGCCTGCTCAGTTGTTGCTAAGAAAAAATCCAGGAGCCGTTAATTAGGGTGAGATAAAGAAAGGGTTTAATCGTGCCAAGGCAATTGATGGGATACGACGCGCGCGCGCTGTGTCCAAGATGTTACAATATATAACAATATCTGGCCAATCCCAAGTATGTCCACCCCGTAACTTTTGCTCTGGTCCACCCCCTGGCCCACCTCCCGGAATTGGGTCTGGGGTGCTTGTTGGGACCCTCTCTTCATCATCCTTCATCATCTTCGGGGTACAGAGAGCAGTCACCCAGTTCTTTGACTCTGTCCTGCGGTTTAGGCCAAGATACAAGCATTCCCCAAACAAGACAGGCTTGCCTTGACAAGAGACAAAACATCTTCTACTGGATACAGGGATAGGGCTGATATGGGGAGTATGGAATGGGGTAAGAGGGAGAAAGGAATGTATAAACTAAGGGGTGCTACGGGGAGGAGGGAGAAAGGGTTACTTCTAAAATCTACTTCTATTACTTATAAAACTTATAAGGTAGAAAAATAAGAAAACCATTAGGGGCTTAAGGCATCAGTCCCCCCTTTAGAGATTAAACAAGATTCCGAGATCTTGTTCAATCTCTACTACTTACACATAATACTAATCATATAACAAGCTATTATGCAAACTTAATGCTAACATGAATGGTTGCTCTAATTAGGTTCAGCTTGGTAACTATGAAGTAAGTTTGTGAAGGTAAACTTAGTGAAACATTTCTAAGAATTATCCAATATATAATTCAAATTTGTTGTCAAATTCATAGTGCAAATTTAGCACTCATCTTTATGAAGAATGTTTGGTATATTTTACTAAAGCCAAATGTAAATTTAGGTTCTAAACTCAATTCATAGTTACTGGCAGTACTAATAAATACAAACTAGCGAGGAAAACTTAAACACTATTTTAACAGTCCTTATAAATAAGTCTTTGTTGCTCCACTCGTCTCAGGAACAGAGGTTCTTTTCTTCCTGGGTGAAATTCAGGATCTTGATGATAACTCTTGACCACGATGGAAATGGTCAGCTGGACTTGAAAACAGTTCTTTCTGTTTGGTTTGCAGGAGTTTCAGTCTCATTGTTTAACGCAGACTCAGTCCTTGGGCTGGAGTAGGTGATCAGGAATGTCCAGTCTCATAGGCTTAGATGATTCAATGAACTTCTGCAGTTCCTGCAAAGCAGATCTTAAAACATAAACAATTTTACAAATAAACCTCCTTAGGTGACCAGGGAGTCGATGAAGTGTGACTCTCTGTCTGATGACAATTTCACAGGAATTTTAGATCTTAGAATTCCTGTATTTCAGTCTTCTGAGAGAGGAGCTCGCGCTTTTATCACATAAAGCGATTAACTGCCAGTCATAGATTTAATAGGCCAGTCAAGAGCTTACCTGAGGCACGCTGCGTCTGGATGCAAACAGCACCCTGGCAGTGCCAGTCGCTCACCACAGAGAGTTTATACTCTCTGGACAAATTCTAGGCCTTACCAGGGGCAGGTTGTCCTGTTCCAACCTGTCCCAGACTGCAGTTAATCATCTTTACCTCATGGAGTGGTCATACAGGGGCCTCTTGCCTCCATGGATAAAAGCTTCTACACCTGTTAAAATAGGTGCATTCACAGATACATGAATACTAATGAAATAATAAAGTTAGAAAGCAATTTCAGTAAACTACTTAAGCAACCTAAACCAATTATTCCAACAACTGATGTTACCAGGTCGTCTCAAAGATTTCAGGCAATGGTGCAAGCCATATTTTTAGAGGCTAATTAGGAGAGTCCATAGAACCAGTGCTGTTGTAGTGCTGCCTCAGCACTGAAGCCACCTTCCTATCCGTCCTCCGGTTTCAGTGTAGGATTTCTTTTATGCAATTCGGGTTCGCGTACATTCTTAGATGACACTAGATATGAAAGTATCTTAAAAACATAAGTGGATAAACATGATTCCACAATTCACATGAAAATTCTATGGACCTTTCATCAAACTGCTTTTTACAAGAGGAATTCTTCCACAAGCTGCAGTAGTCTAAGAGACACAGATGTTTACAAATTGCTGCTGGAACAAGATATGTGCAAGTATAAACATTGCAAGCTTTAAAGCGATTCATATAGCAAAAGTAAAAGCAATATAGGCTTTCAATTTTTAGCAATTAAGCTAACAACAAGAGAAACTTAATATAGAAATAACAAAACAGCAAAACAAATACAATAATTGCAATATATGTACATGTACCACCTTTAGTGCAAATTGATTTTCAATTGTGTCAGAAGGCTTTTATGTTGGTTTCTGTCTACTCACTCTTGATGATATTGCAGCTTAACACTCTTTGGTCCTGATGTATTTCATTTGCAGTTAAAAACATTTGTCTACTTCTGCAAAAAGTTGTTCTCATGGCTTGGTGGTACTGCTTTTCAGGTCTGCTGGAACAGACCATCTGTAAACAGATAACTTCTGACACATTGTTAGTTCCCATTAAGAGCAAAACAGTGGTCTCCCTTTTGATTTTGCCACAGCCAGGGCACAGAGGGCAGGAATATTCACAGACCGTGAGCCTGAAACAGGCCTAGAGCACACAGGGGCCAATATAGCTAGCTCTTTCCCCCTCCCTTTCCATGTTAGCCAGTCTAACAGGCGAGGGGAGGGGCCACAGCAGTGATCGACCAGTCCGTGGGACAGTGCTGGTCGCTCAGCCTTCCATACTGTGTCCATTCCTGTTGGGCTCCCTTTGGGAGCCCACTTCACGACAGGGACAGGGCCACCCCTTTGAGTTTCCCCTCTTGCTGTTGCAAAAAGTATCTTTCCCGGTTTTCGACCGCTTCTGGGCTCTGTTGCTATAGCAACGACTGCAAGCCAGAGGCTCACGTCGGCAGGACCGTGCCAACTCGGGAGGTGGGGCAGGCTCTGGGGCGGGCCGGGGCAGGACCATTCTGGTCCGCACCACCTCCTCCCCTTTCGGGATAGAGAATCCAATCTGTCTGACTCAGCCAGCGGCTCCGCCCACAGCGGCCCCAGGGATCCGAAACTGGGCTTCCCAGAACCATGGGGGAAAACCACGAGTATTAGGGGGAGAGTGGGGGCGACCGAGCCGCCCTCGGTAACCAAAGCAACCGGTTGGCCGCTCGCCGCAAAAACAGTGAGTCCCCCTGGAGGGTCTGTCACCCCCCTTTTTGGAACAGAAGCGGCCGCAGTGCTGGCAGGGGCGGAGGCAGCTTCCTCGCTTCCCGCACCGTACGGGTCAGTGGTGGTCTCGCTTGTAACAGCTACCGCCTCATCTCCGCTCACCGCAGCACAAGCAGCGATCCCGCTCGCAGTCTGCTGCTCCCCAGCGCTCTCGGTCGCCTTGTCGGCCGTGCCTGCAGGGGCAGCTGCCGACTCAGCTCTCTGCACTCCTGTGGCAGGTGCCTGCAGGGGCAGCCCCGCCCGCCATAGGTATCTCTTTCTCTGCTGCCGGACGATCAGAGGCAGAGGAGTCAGTGCCCATGGGAGGGCCAATGGCTGAGGGGGAGTGCTCCCGCTTCTGCCGCAGCTGCTCCTCGGCCATGCTGCTCTTGCTCACTAGTGTCTCCAGCATTTCCAGGACTCGCAGGGTCCTGAACTGCAGCTGGGCTCAGGCAGCGGGGAAATTGGGCCCGGGGCTGAGCTGCATCAGGTCCCGTCCCAGCATGGTCGAGATGTCATAGACATCGTCAGCTGTCAGCTGGAATGGGCTCTTATCCAGAGCCCTCTCTGGGTTACCATCCATATCAGTATAGTCTGTAGGCGACTCATTCGCCCCTTGTTTGACCTCATACATTTTTATAGCTCTCTCGCTGTTATCACTACCGAAAGAATCAACTGCTTCAGCACCCCTCTGCGGCGCTGGGCTACTTGGTTTCACAAGCATACCTACACCCGGGGCTGTCGCCCCACCTGGGGCCGACGCCTTTACTGCCACCGTCAGAGCTAACTTCTGCCGCCGTCTCTACACTGGCTGGTTCCGGCAGCGCTTTTGCTGCGATCTCTAAAATCTCTGTTTCTACAACAGATGCCGCATCTGTAACAACCTTCTCTGGTGTTACCACGCCAAAAGCAACTCTAGTAAAAGCTGACTTCTCAGCCTTCACAGCTCTTATCCCGTTAGCGATACAACTATCTGTTCCTCCCGCATTCACCTCTGGTGTTACCATGGTAACCTCCTCTACTCCGGCAAGGCTACCAGCAGCAGCTGCAAAGTTACAGGCTCCCTGCACGCTTGCCGGGACAGGCGGGGGAGACTCAGCTTCCATTGCCCCGCTGGGGCCAGGAGTTTCTCCTGGTGTCACTCCTGTTTTAGCCAAATTAGATGTTACCTTTGAGCTTAACCCTGCAGCGTCTGCATAACTCTCGCTCTACTCTGCCGCGCTAAAAGCAATTTCAACAAAAGCTGATCTTCTCTGCACCGCGGTGCCTACTTCAGTCAAACTAACAGCTTCCGTTCTTACAACCACACTGACGGGACTCACTCCTGCCGGCCCCGAGCTAACTCCTCCAGGGGTCTCAATTTGCTTAATCCCTCCCAGTGCGACCAGACCCACACCCAGGAGTCCTCCAACGGCCCATGCCTGCCCCACTCCTGCCCGTTCAGCAGGAGCCGGTCCAGACGCTGCCATTCTTGCAGCTCCGGCCCCCAATTCAGGGCATGTTAATAAACGCGAAAACAGTGCTGCATATTGAATTTCCTCCAACCTCTTTTCTACATGAAGAAGCGACATTAATCAAAACACTGTGTCCAGTTCAAACGAACCAAATTCCGGCCAAGCCAGTCCTCTCAATTGTCCAAACAACGGTCAGGCATTCACAGACAGCCAATAAAGCTCTTCTTTTTTTAAAGTTGCATTTGGACCGGTTAAAACCTTCCAATGTTCCAAAACTAAACCCAAGGGGGATTCTTTAGGGACCTCAAACTTTGAATCCACACGACCCATGATTGTAAAACACAAATGATCCACGAACACACACCGGGATTCGAACTTGCTACCTTGGGGCTACAACGTTGTTTCAGTAGCCCTTCAGCTATTATTCCGAGTCTCACTGACTCCCAGAACCTACACCGGCTCCCCCACGGCATCAGAGCACACCGGAAGGTGTCCCTTCCCAACAAAACAGTCCTAGACTGAACCCTGCTCTGACCCGGGTGGGCAGACCACCCCGTCTGCCAACTGGAAAGCGACTCTCTGAGACTGTATGGGCCCAAGTCTTAAATTTAACTTTCCATTAACCCGTGTCCCCCACCTCCCGGGAACACAAACTTTCTGGCAGCTGCTAACTTCCCGCAGCTGCTAACTAAACCAGGTACCTTTTTCCCTTGCTTTGCCTTTTCTTATCTCACCTCTATGCTCCGTGCTTTTTTCCGTGGGTTCTGTGGAGCTGGGCTTCTCAGACCGGGGCGGGAATTGTCTCAGATAAAGCCGGCTTGATGAGGAATTCCTGCACCATGAAAGTTTCCAGTCTGAAGAAGTTCCAGTCCAGGTCTCCCCGTGAGGGCCACCAACTGATGCCTGCTCAGTTGTTGCTAAGAAAAAATCCAGGAGCCGTTAATTAGGGTGAGATAAAGAAAGGGTTTAATCATGCCAAGGCAATTGATGGGATACGACGCGCGCGTGCTGTGTCCGAGATGTTACAATATATAACAATATCTGGCCAATCCCAAGTGTGTCCACCCCATAACTTTTGCTCTGGTCCACCCCCTGGCCCACCTCCCGGAATTGGGTCTGGGGTGCTTGTTGGGACCCTCTCTTCATCATCCTTCATCATCTTCGGGGTACAGAGAGCAGAGTCACCCAGTTCTTTGATTCTGTCCTGCGGTTTAGGCCAAGATACAAGCATTCCCCAAACAAGACAGGCTTGCCTTGACAAGAGACAAAACATCTTCTACTGGATACAGGGATAGGGCTGATATGGGGAGTATGGAATGGGGTAAGAGGGAGAAAGGAATGTATAAACTAAGGGGTGCTACGGGGAGGAGGGAGAAAGGGTTGCTTCTAAAATCTACTTCTATTACCTATAAAACTTATAAGGTAGAAAAATAAGAAAACCATTAGGGACTTAAGGCATCACATAGACTGTGAGGGTGTAAAAGCCCAGGGTTTCCTTTGTTCAGGGTCCCTCCTTGGAGGCACCCAGCTCAAGATGTTATTCTGTTGTTGCACCATGATTAAATTATTTTATGGATCAAGATGTCCTATACTCTGCTATGGGAAACCTTGGGTCGAGCCAGTAAAGAAACCTTGTCTGACTGTGAGTGTGGTGTGTGTAGCTGTGAAGGGGCCTTGGTCCTAGCTTAATTGGGGTGAGTGTGACTGTCAGAGTGACTCCTGGATGGTCGGACAAGAAAGTTTCCTTAACATGCCTTCAACCAGGTCAGAAGACTGTCAATCCAGCAGAAGATGAGCTCATAGCCGAGGAATTGTATTGTGGTGCATCTAGAGAAGGCTAAAGAGGTTAAAAGTGTTGCTGTAAAGGTGAAATGTAAAATGATTCAAAATACAAAAGCAGGAAAGGAAACATTTTTGTAATTTTTTTCATTTAATAATAATAATCTTATTTTCTAAATGCAGTTTTTTACAACTAAGTTGACAGCTTCACAATTCAGTAACCTTCCTCAAGATGATATTGCAAAGCTGGTATCTTCAGTTGCGTTTGTCTCTAAAACCCCTGGTATGATACCTCTGGGTCCCTGTCTCAGTTTAATGAGACTGAAGTGTTTTACTAAGGAGGATGAGTTATGAGGAAGACCAAACTCCTCCCTCTAAGCAATTGTAAATCTGAAATTAAAAGGCTCCAATTGAGGAAGTATGGAGAAAGAAAAAAAAAATAACACCCCTTTATTAAAGGATGTATGTGTATTGGCAGAACAACAAAACAACACAAAAAGCCAACTAAACAATAATCCTGTACCCAAAAGTCCCCTTCGAAAAGGAAACAGTTCAGTACTTTCTGCCTTTTGGCACAATTCTAACCACGATCAGCAGGGGGCACTGTTGGATCACTGGAGGAGCAGAGTCTGCAGTTGCTCTATAGTAGTCAGCAGGGGGCACTGTTGGGCTCTGGCAGTCTCCGCGTGGGGGCCCTGATGCGCAGGAGAAGCTGAAAATGGAGATCTCCCCCCCATACCGGAAAGGGGAAAAGGGGTTCTTCCCGCGAACTCATGCTGTCGGCAGCTGACTCCAGCTGGGACTTCCCCAAAGGTTCCTTCACAGAAGGGTCAAGCCTCTCCGATGAAATCTGAGCAAGTCCGGGCTGGGGGCAGAACAGGGCGCAGGAGAACGGAGGTGAACTGGGGCCAGAAACAACCAGATGACCCAGACGAAAAAGAAAGCCAACCCAGAGCCTTTTCACACACACATATCCTCCCCTCAGTCAGGGCAAAAGTGAAGTGTCTTGCTGTTTCCTGAGGAGAAAGCAAAAAACTCCATACCTCCCCCCCAGTCTTCCGAGGGCTATCAGTCTGGAATGTGGGTCTGCTAGCTAGTTCCTTTGTGTGTGTCAATCACCCTAGGTAAACACCTTCCCCCTCCCTTGTTCAACATCTTTCTTTTACAGCCATGCAGGGGAAAGAAAAAAATTCCCCCTTGGTTTTTTTTAGAACAAGTAAACCTATGACATTATCCACCCCTAATTTTTTTCTTTTCCCATGCCACCACACTCTATCAAATTAAACCTTTGAACTACATATGTACATGCATTATTCTCCCTATATACACATTCACAAATATGTAGATACAAATATAGATACAGACACAGAGTTATGGCCAGTTCACCCGAAGATAAGATCCCCTTGAGATATACACCAGGTTTCTCCATCTTCCCGCATTACCCACCATGTGCTACCGGGTCCTTGGGCAAAAACAATGCCACGAATGGGTTTGCCTTTGTTCAAGGCAGGGTTAATCCAAACTCTTTTATCTAACATACCCCTCACGTGAATCACTGGGACTCTGTCTCCATCTACAGCGTGAAGGGGCTCTGATTGGGCAGGGCCAGCTCAATTGATGGAGCCTCTAGTGTTGACTAACCATGTAGCCTTTGCTAGGTACTGATCCCAGTGCTTGAAAGTCCCCCCACCCAACACTTCAGGGTGGTTTTCAACAGTCCATTACACCGTTCAACCTTCCCCGTGGCTGCTGCATGTTATGGGATGTGATACACCCACTCAATGCCATGCTCTTTCGCCCAGGTGGTAACTAAGATGTTCTTGAAATGGGTCCCATTATCTGACTCAATGTGCTCTGGGGTGCCGTGTCGCCACAGGACTTCCTTTCCAAGGCCCAGGACAGTATTTCGGGCAGTGGCGTGGGGCTTTCTCAAATGAATGACTTTCTCAAAGGTCTTCTCTTTTTTCATTATAATCTGCCTGATTAATGATCTTACTTTCAGTTTGATACTTTCTATAGGCTCTTCAGATCTCCAGTATTTCACAACTTTACCCTCAAGACTGACAAGGTGATGTCCAGGAGTTAGAAAGATAAATTACTTGTTGGGAGGAATGGGTTAAAAGCGGAAGACTGTCGAGGACGATTGTAAATGGCTCAAGTGACCTTGCAGTTGGGAATAACCCTTGATAAGCCTGTGTGAACAGCAGCTGGTGATCCTCTGGCATGGACTGAATTTAATGGTGCCTGTGTCTCCACTTGTGTGTCTCTGCCTGGGGCTTGCTTTGGGGATCCCTCGGTT